CCAGCACAGGGGCAGGAGAGATGATTTCTTTCAAGTGAGATGACATAGGTTCTTGGAATCAGAGAATTGGAATGGACCTCAGAAGTTGTCTTGTCTAACCCTCTTCATTTTATAAATGAGGAAACTGAGGCTTGGAGGTGACTTGCCTTGCTTACAGATAGTAAGCATCGGAGGCAAGACTGGAACCCAGGACTCTGACTCCAGATTCAATGTTCTTTCATTGTATGCCATCGTCCCCCTGTTCTCAGAAGTGAATCTCATGGGAGCAAGTTGAATGGAGCTTTGCTGAGACAAAAGTTTGAAGCATTCTTGCTCCCTGAGGAGGGAGGATTGGGAGGTTGGATGTGGGAGGGTATTAGGAGCCTGACTTTCAACGAATCAACAAGAATTTATTTAGTACCTACTCTGTGTGAGAGAGTATAGTGTTAGGGATAGAGAGCTAGCCTTGGAACCAGGGATTTGGACATCTCAGATCCTGAGTGACTTTAGGTAAGTCATTTAACTTCTCAGTGCCCTAGGCATCTCTCTAAGATTTGTAAGTTGCTGCGCAGATGCTGATCTTCACTGGTAGAGAGTTTCCACATTATGGTTCCTTGTATTAATGAAATCACAGGTCTGGACCGACACTCTCCCCCCCAAAAAAATTCAAAACAAAACAAAACTCAACTAGTCCCCAAACCTACCTCCCAGAGCTGTTGTACCAAATGAGATAATACATGTAAAGTGCTACACAGATGTCAACAATAATATTTATCAGAGATGTGGCAAAGTCTTTTACATACTTTGATGAGATTTCTCACACCACTTACATATTTTATTTTCTCTCTCCTTCTGGGTTGAAGGTGCTTTAGGATGTAGCACCCTTTATTGCTTCTATTCTTTCTTCAATAATTGGTAACAAAAGTCCTTGGGGGAGAGCAATCAGTCTCTGTGTTCATGGCTGCTGGCATTCTTGAGTGCCTTCTTGAAAGTGCAGAGACGAGCAAACGTCTCACTCCTAGACGGAAAGGCAGGCCTAACTTGGTGATTGGGTAAGGGATCTTGGGTTCCATTCCTACTTGCTATAGCTGCCAGCCCCCTTCCCCCTGCAAATCCCTCCTTCAGTTCCCACAGACCTCTGTGGGAATGGTCCAAGCTTGTGACATCCTCCCAGTGTCCACCATTTGCTCTAATCAGAGGCTCCACTGCCCAAGGCACGTGGAGGAGGAAAGCATGAATGCCTCTGGGAGCCAACTTGTTCTCCAGGTCTCAGGCAGGAATCCACTTGAAGCTCCCTGTCTGTGCCAGCTGCTATCACCTGACTCTGACCTGAGAGAAATAACTCATTTCCCCTGTAATATGATGCTCTTAATCACCTTATATCCAATGTACACTTTGGTCTCTCCAGCAATCAATCAACAGAGTCCACAGCCATCTTGTGGGGACAAGCTGAACTCCTCTATGGTCCCGGGAGCCCTCCATAGTTCACTTCCCATTGGGGAGTGGGGGTGGTGCCACAGAAGACAGGTGTCTGATTTGCTTTTTATAGTTTTTTAGCTCAAGGTTGCATGGTCCTCCTGGGATAATAGATTATAGAGCCTGAAGGAGTCTCAGAGTCGGGGCAGCTAGGTGGTGCCGTGGATAGAATAGCGGCCCTGGAGTTAGGAGGACCTGAGTTCAAATCTTGTCTTAGACACATACTATTTCCTAGCTTGTGGGCAAGTCACTTAACCCCAATTACCTCACCAAAAAAAAAAAAAAAAAAAAAAAGGAGAGAGAGAGAAGAGAAAAGGAGTCTCAGAGTCTTGTAGATGAGGAAAGTGGAACCCAGGGTGGGTAAGTGATGTGTCCTGGGTCACATAGGTTGCAAGGACAGTGTTTGAACCCATAGCCCCTGATTCCAGAGCCAGGGCTTTCTACTCTGCCACTCTGTACAGAGAAAAGCTCTACTAGGGATAAATGGGTACCATAGTATGGGGTGCAAGTGGGATGTGTAGAAAAACCCTGAGTAGTTCATCCACTCAGTAAGAACACATCCAAACTGGCTGTCTCAACAAACGGTCAGTGACATACCTTTAGGGGTGAAGGAGAAAGAACGGCCCTGGATCAAAGTTCTGGCTTGTAAACCTAGAGTTTAACTTTGCCCTGGCTCCCTTTGAGCCCCAACCTTCCTTTGGGCTAGGGCAATCCTGAAATCCTGCTAGTGGTATGTCCTAGGATCCTGGAACCTGAGGAAACTTCAAAGGGCATCAAGTTGAACTCCCTAAATGCACAGTTGAGAGAACAGCCTCAAAGAGGTTAAATCACAGAAATTGACCAGAAACAGGATGAAACTGGAGGTCAGTATGATTTGGGAATAGAGAGCACAACCCGACACAACAGATTGATAAAATCTATTTGAGAAATGTGAAGTGGTAAATACTAGAGGAGGTTTGGGTTAATGACGACTGCACATTAACCTTGCTTCTAGGCTTGAAGTTTCAGGGAGAAATTTTGGAGCTAGGTGATGAAGTGGATAGAGGGGGCGAGCAGGGTGGGGTATTGGGCTATGATCTGGGTTTTAGGGCCCTTTGGCACAAGCATTTCCTCATTTCACAAATGCCCTCCCTCTTCACCTCTACCTTGTAGAATTGCCTCCTTCAAAGCACAGGTCAGTGCCTTTCCTGATGCCCTAGTTATTACAGCTCTGTTCCTTTTGAAATGACATTACCTTTGGATATTACCTTTTTATTTGCTTATTTGTATACACAGTGTATCCTTTCAGCTAGGTTGCACAGTGGCTAGAGTGCCAGGCCTGGAGTCAGGAAGACCTGAGTTCAAATCTGCCCTCTGACACTTATTAGCTGTGTAATTCTGGGCAAGTCACTTCACCCTGTTTGCCTCAGTTTCTTCATCTGCAAAAAGAGCTGAAGAAGGAAATGGTAAACCCATTTCTCTGCCAAGAAAACCCCAGATGAATTACAAAGAGCAAGATGCTACTGAACAACAACAACAAAAAAGTACCCAGTCAGTTTATGAAGCAGAGTACTTTTGACCTGAATATGGAGGTGGTATGCCTGGTGCCCACCAGAAAGGACCATGTTTCTTCCAGATTCTGAGGAGTGAACCTTACAGGATCATAGATTTAGAGCTGGAAGGGACCTTAGACATAATCTAGTTCAACTCCTTCATTTTACAGATGAAATAACTAAACAGCTTAGGTAAAGGGTCATGAAGACCTGAGTTCAAATTTTACCTCAATCACTTACTAGCTATGTGACCCTGAACAGGTCACTTAACCTCAGTTTTCTCATCTGTAAAATGGGAATAATAATAGCACCTACCTAACAGGATTGTTGAGGCTCAAATGAAATAATATATCAAGTACTTTACAAGCCCCAAAGTTATATACATACCAGTTATTATTATTATTATTATTATTATTATTCATAACCTGAAGCCTAAAAACGTTAACAGATTTGTCCAAGGTCCAGGTAGTAAGTGGCAAGTCTAGGATTCAAATTCTCTAACTACAAATTCTCTAACAAAATTCTCTAACACAAATTCTCTAACTACAAATCCAGCAGTATTCTGAATGCTTCATCCTCTACCCCTCCTGTCCTATCTCAACATTACTCTTGAGTAGCCTGGAGCCCCAGTTTCTGAAATCCTCAAGTTTTAGGTTTGGTCCCTATGTTCCCTTCCTGGACCGGTTGGGAAATATTGTGAACACATCTGGACGGAAAAGTGCCACTGAGACAGAAATAATCGCGTCTTCTCCCTCCTTCCCCCCCGCCTTTCCTGCTCATGAGCAAACAGCTATTGGTCAAGAATCCCTGAAGTAGGTATAGAACCCCTCGTGTAGCTCACAAACCAGAAACGTTACAGACCCAGTGGACTGATCATCGTTCTGGGAATGATGGGAAGGGGCTGTTGGCTGGTACAGGAATGGTTGTTAGTTTGGGAAAGAATCAACTGCTGGTGCCAGGATGGCTATTGTTTTGGTGCCTGCCTGCCAGGGAGGGCCAGGTGTCAGAAAGACCTCTAATTCCTGAGCTGCAGCTGGGCAATATGATTATAGCTCCTCTTCCATTACAGAAATGGCAACCAGGCCATTACTCTCCCACCTGGAGAACACACAGCTTCAGGCACTGGATAGAGCAGAATGGGGGAAGAGTCACCAAGGAAATGACCAAGACCAGAATATGGTCAGGGAACCCTGTTTGCTGACAGATGTTTGACCATCATTCCTCCATCCCAAACCCCCAGAATTCAGGTACTCTGAAGGCCCATGCTGTTCAGCAGTATCTGTGGCCAAAAAAGCCCAAGTTACATTAGGCTAGGTATCCTCATTCCTTGTCATTTATTTATTCTGCATGTACTCCCCAAGGACGACTTTCCAAGCCCAGCTCCTGACCTCAGCATCAGTGTGGTATCTCACACATATAAGGTGTTTATAACATTTTCATTCCTGTTACACAGTGAGAGAGTGAGGTCAGTAGGGCGGTACTACCTTTGCTAGTGGGCATCAGGTGAAAGCAGATGCCGGAATTGGCCTAGACATGGAAAGATCATAGATTTAGAGCTGGAAGGAACTATCTAATCTGAATCCTATATTTTACTGAAAAGAAAACTGAGTCACAGAGAAGTGAATGGCTTGTTCATGGCCACATATGTAATGAGTGGCAGAGCCTGGATTGAACCCAGGGTCTCTTCCCCCAAATCCAGTGCTCTTTCCACTATCCCACCAATGGAAGCCAACACAGTGCAAAGCCTCTTGATGTTTTTTCCATATGAGCTGCCATCTTCACTTTTGGATTCCTGTCATCCACTAGTCTATTTGGTGCTTACAAGAACTACAATCAAATGTTTATAAGGAAGCAGAACAGAGATTATTATTTGCGCTTTATAGATGAAGAAAGTGAGGCTCAGAGAATTAAATAATTCTGCTGAGACTAGAGCCCAGATGTTCTGGCAACTAATCCAGGATAACTGTCCAATATACCTAATATCAAATCAAGGAAGAAACCCTCACAAGTCCATTAATTAAAAAAACAAACACACCAAGTTTATTCAAAAATAGATCTCTCATTTGGACAGACTTTCCAGGTCACATAGTTTTAAATAATTCACTTTAAAAGCAGCATCAGTCATAGACCAGGAACACCTTTCTATGTTATAGAGGTTCCCAGGGTGCAATATCCCACACAGCCAGTCTGGCCATGAGAGAAAAGCCTTTTTTTTACCCTAGTGATACTCGATTGATAGTGAGTGGGGCTCAGCCCTTCCTCTGGGCTGGCCTGCTTGTCTCAATCTCTGCAGTCACGTCAGTGCAATGGTTTTTAGACTTTGTTACCTTGCCTCTGTTTGCCAGGCTCTTACAGAACACTTCCTTGGTTCCTGCCTTACAGATATTCATGGCTGGAATGGGCCTCAATGACTACCTAGGTAGTCCAATCCATACCTGAAAAAGGACTCCCTCTTCAATGTACCCAAATGGCCATCCAACATTTGCTTGAGGGGAGCTCTAACTGTGGAGGTTTCCCCCTATAATCAAGGCTAAATTTGCCTCTTTACAAAAATCCCCAAAGATGTGGAAGTTCTGGTCCTGGATCCTCCCTTATTCCCTCAGCTATGAGAGAAATGAGGCATCTGTCAGCAGCAATGGGTTGATGAAGGACAACTCCACCTGGGTAGCTGTCAGCCTTTAGCTGGAAGCCCTTGCCTGTGCCCAGGGCCTATTGATACCATTTCAAAAATAAGTCTCAATCAACATTTCAGAAAAATGGACGATAGCATTTTTCTCAGGTGCAGGGTCTGCCATACAGGTTCCAGGGGTAGATTTAGAGCCTCAGACTAGCAGGAGGGAGGGTCTGGCTCTAATTGGAAGGGCAGTGTCCAGGGCAGATGCTGACCCAGCTGCCCACAGACAGTCATTCTGGCTCCTCCTTTCTTCTTGGTACTAGCAGAAGGATGGGGCTCCTCCAAACTCAGGGCTTTTCTGGGTCTTCGGTGTCTTGAAGTTGGTTAGAAAAGGCCCTTTCAATGTGCAGAGTGTTGTACTTGGGTGGTGGAGTCCCAGGCACGTGGCTTCCTGGGGCCTGAGGCAGCTGCAGAGCAGTGTTGAAGGTAGGTAGGTCATCATCAAGAACACAGGTTGGATTGTCACAGCCAGTAAGGTCTGCAGGGTTCCCAGAGGATGACTGGCCCTGTTGGATCTTCCTTTGGGCCCACCGCTTCTTGGTCTTCTGCCAGCAGCGCCGGGCAATGATGGAGAAGGAATCAACAAAGAAGACCTCGATGATTTCAAGGACACAGACCACAGAGCAGCTCATCCAGAGGCCCAGCTGCCCTCCAAAGTTGGACAACAGTATCTCAATCTGGAAAAAATATCGAGCAGCATTCAGTCACTCAACAAGCATTTATCAAGTGTCTATTGTACGCCAAGAAGAAGCCTAGTGGGGATGAGAGCTGGCCTCACAGCCAGAAAGATGTGAGTCCAAGTCGCATCTCTGATATTAACTGGTTGTGTGACCCTGGGCAAGTCACTTAACTTCTTAGTGTTCCAGGCATAGGTATTGGCCAGCACTGGTAGGAGTTTCTTCATCCCAAAGCTCTCTACCAATAACATCACAGGTCACACAGTCCCTACCCTAATCCCTATGTGCTAGGCATGGGGGACACAAAGACAAAATGAGGCACATACAACATATATGTTGCATATGGCATATAAGACAAATACAAATCGATGGGATGAGAGGTCTAACAATGGGGGGAATTGTGTAAGGTCCCTAGAGGAAGGCAGCTAGGGCTTCTGAGTTGAGGAGGGAGAATGTTCCAAGTATGGGGGGCAGTGTGGGGAAGGTCCTGAGGTGGGGGATAAAAAAAATCATGAATGGGGGAGAGAGCATCCTATGTAGTGGCAAAGGGATTTCTGTGTCCTGACACAGAGCCTGAGGCCTCAGTAACAGGCAAACGTCTCAGAGGCTTTCTCACTGCTAAACTTGGAGCTGCAGTTTGGCCCCGGAATATCCGGGGTCCCTCTGACCTCAAACAAGTAGGAGTGTGTTATGTCTATGCCCCTGCTCCCAACTAGCCCTCTAGAGTCAAGAAATAATTCGCCAGACTTCTAAATAGTGCTGGCAGAAGGCTATACAGCATAACCCTCTTTTAACCCCTGACTACTTAGAGTTGCCTGCTTCCCTAACACACAGGGGGACTGAGGGCATGGGAATGCACCTGCTGGCTCAAGTATTCTTTTCCAAGGCCTGGTGGCAGGCCTCCTGACTTCGCTGTTATACAACTGGAGAAGGAGAGGAACAGGTGGGCAGGACCTTATCAATGTGTGTATGTGTAGGGGGTCAGAAATGTCTTACCTCTCCCACTCCTTTACTCTAGCTTGTTTTATTTTTAGATTTTACTTCTTCAATTAATAAGCATTTATTTTCTGTCCCTCCCACATCTCCCCAATTAAGGAAATCCTTGTAATGGGAACTTATTTTGCTGAACTACTATTAATAATAATAATAGCTAGCATTGATGTAGCACTTTGAGGCTTGTAAAGTGCTTTACAAATATTATATCATTTGGTCCTCACAACAATCCTGGGAGATAGGATTGTTATTATTATCCCCATTTTATTGATGAGGAAACCAAAGCAGTGAGAAGTTAAGTGATTAACCCCAGGGTCACACAACCAGGAAATTTTTAAAGGGAGGATTTGAATTCAGGTCTTCCTGATTCTAGCTCGAGGGCTCTCTCTTGTGCCATGCCACTTAGCCCCTAAGTTTCAAACCCTGACTGGCAGACTGGCACTGGGAGGGAAGTAAGCAAGAAACAGAATATTAAGGGATCTTAATGTGGAAAGGTCATGGGAGGTTGAGACCTCAGGTGCCCTCCCCATGGGATTATGTCATCCTCATTGTTAACTGACCCCACCCCCACTCCCACCCTTACCCCAAACACGACACAAGAGTCTCCCCTCCCAACTCAATCAGCAACTCTATATGACTTCATACTATCTGACCTCCATCTCCCTGGTCCTTGACCCTGGGGAGCAGAGCCCATTTCCGGGAAAGCATCACTTACACTGTTGGCAGGACTCTCTATGATGGACCTCTGGTTCAGATCCTTATAGAAAATCAAGAGTTTGGCTAAGTCCGTCCTGAAAGGAAGCAAACATAAAACAACTTGGAGTGAGCCAAGAGCAGGACATGACACAGTTAGGCAGTCAGATCCTCCTTTACTGTAGTCCCCACTTTGTCTGGGAGATGCCCTGGACTTCCTGTGGACCTCAGCAATGAAACTGAGAATCATGGCCAAGAGCACCCTTTGAAAAATAGAAGCTGCTTCTTCCTTGTCTCCTGTGATACTTCCTGCTCCTCTAAGCAGCCTTCTGTCTTGGAAAGATCCTGCTAGGGCCAGGGCATGAGCATCTTAGCCTTACAATCTGTCATTAAAAGTCCTCCTGGAAGAAAGCGGATTTTCCAAAAAGAGGGTGGAAGCCATGGCACTAGGGAAAGAAGTAAATGGAGAAAGGAGTAAAAAGGAGAAAGAAAAGGAGACTAAGAATGGAGGGAAACTTACTTGTTTAGCCTTTTGTTTTCTTTATGACCTTGATCCCATGTGAGAACATCCAGCATCCAGTTCTGAGAGAGAAAGAACACGTGTGCACAGGCATGTATGGAGAGATTTATCTGCTGAGGATGAATCCTCAGGGATGTCTCCCTTCGACCTGGAAGGGCTTGGCTCTTCCTGGTGGGGAGGCAATCTCCTGTAACCCCTACCTCCCCATGACTGGGCCAGGACTCAGAAAGGTTGCCTCTTGAATGAGACATACATTTTTGGACCTGACCAATGTGCGAATTGATTTTGCTTCACTATGTATACTTGCTACAAGAGTTCTGCTTCTTTTCTTTTGAATTGAGTGGGGCAGAGGGGAAGGGAAGGAATAGGATTTCAAAAAGGAAAATGAGAAAAGAACAAAAGGAAGGAAGGCTAGAAGGAGTCACAGATAGGTAGGACAGCTTTGAAAGTTACAAGTTGACTTTATTATATACCTCAAAAGAAAAGCAAGTGCTACATAAGAGATTCAATTTCGCATAAAATTCCTTTCTTCTGTTCCAATCATATATGTATATATGCAAATATCTACCTATATATGGAAATGTTAATTTTTTAGTTTTAAGTTTCAATTTTAGTTTTAAGTTCAGATTTTTTTTTTTAAAGAAAGGCTGCATTTTTCATGGAAGGGAGGGAGGGAGAGGAAGGCTTTTTGCTTCTCCTATATGCACGGCTTTCTCCCTTGGTTCACAGGCAGCCTACCCAGGGCAGTGAGGCCCCAGCTCAGCCAGGCTGGTCCCATTACATGGGAGGAAAGTACGACTTAGTTGCAAGGGACAAGAGGCGAACTATGGTTTTTGCACATTGGGACCCAGCGAAGGAAACAAACTTACCTCTGAAATGTCAGATGGCCACTGAGCCAGACTGGTGGTCAAAGACCATTCTTTAAAGCTGCAGAGAAAAGAAAGCAAGGTGAGTTTTGTAGTTTAGTGAGACCCAATGTGGTGTCTACCCTTGTCTACTTGTGGCTACACTTACTTGCAAGATTCCCGGCAGATGGCCTGGCAGCCTAGTTCTTCTCGGACAAATGCCTGGTGCAGCTTATAGTAGCAATACACTGTGTAGGGAAGAACACTGGGGATGAAGGCCACGAGATGCCCCAGAAGGCTCCTAACACTCCCTGAGTCTGCTCATTTTTTGTCTCACTGTTACTTCAGTTCTGTTTCCCTCCACTTCTCATATAGAATTATAGATTTAGAGAGTTGGAAGGAAGCTCAGAGATCATCTCATCTAATCCTTTTGTTTTACAGAGAAGATAAATGAGAAAGACCTAGAATGATGAAGTGACCTGTTCAAAGTCACCCAGTAGGGAGTGACAGGGTTGGAATTGTACCCTGGTTCTCTGAGTCCAAATCCAGTACTCTTTCCACTGTACTTTGTTGCTTCTCTATGATGTCTGCTGTGTCAAAATCTGGAGGAGCAGACAGAGGACATGCACCTTGTACACAAGAAAAGACACCTTCCCTTCCTCCATTGCTTCGATGAGCCATCCACTCCATCCCATCTCCTATTTACCACTGCCATCTTTTTAGAGAGATATAGATAGGGAAGCAAACTCAGCTTTTGAGCTGGAAGGAGCGTTTAAAGGCCTTCTAGTCCAATTCCCTGATTTTGCAGACCAGGAAACTGAGGCCCAGAGGAATAAAGTGAGTGGGCACAGCTTGGGAGTGGCAGATGTAGGGCTAGACCTCAGGCTTCCTGACTCCCAACCTAATCGTCTTTACACACTGCAGAGTGGACAAATGACTTTCTGCAGGGTTGCTGAGGAAGGGACTCCTGAACTAGATGGTCTCAGTTTTCTTATCTGTAAAATGAGAGTTGAGCTGAGTGACTTCTAAGGCCACTTCCAGCTTTAGATCTAAGATCTCTAAGATCTAGGATCCCTTCCAATGCTAAGACCTTCTGATTCTTACTTCACATTCTTCCAGTTCCTAGAAAACTTGCTTCTTGTTGGCTGGATCTTTCTCTACTTTAATATTTAAGTCCTTTCCTGAAAGCTTATCATTTCTGCCTGATGTTTCTCTCAAGACGCTCTCCTTCAGAGTCAAATTCAAATGACATGTCTTGCCACCATACTTTCCTCCTCACCCCCACCCCTGATTTACATGGTTAAAGTTTCTGGTTTTATGTCTGTGGACACCATCTCTATTTTCTGAATCAATAGCTTGAGAGGCTAGCCTGGGGTTCCTGGTTATTGATGAAAACTCACTCCAGTTGGGGTGTTTCTGGTAATTGCAGTAGGAGACATTTTCTGGTGCGGGTTGACTGTACTGGGCACAATGGCACTTTTCCGACATATGCCTCTGGAAACAGGAATGAAGACACATCTGAAAGAAGAGAGGTTGATGACTCCTTCCCATCCCTTCCTCCGTGCCCCCAGCTCCAGGGACCTCCCCATCTTGGAGGTGGCTTTGGCTGAGGGTGGTTCCCAGCCTCCTTTCCCTTATGAAGAGATTTTCACTGAATATGTGAGGAATCTTGGATCTTATCTGTCAAAACCTAGGCAACAAGGTTCATATCTAGGAAAAGAAACCTTCCTTTCTTAACACAGTGTTGCAGGAAAATCTTTGACAATTAAGATCCAGTTACAGATGACATGGAGAAAAACTGGTATTAGCTAGTGGCAATGTACTCAAAGTCTTGCTGGTGATTAGATAATATCAAGGATTACTATCACCGTTTCTGACCCTCTGACCCCCATTTCCACCCCCACACCCAACTGACTACACGGTGGAATTTCCCCAGCCAGGGTGTGACCTTGACTCCTGCATAAGGTCACCTCCCAGTTGGGTGTTCACACTTCTTGGGAGATGGAGAGTCTCATCCTGCCCACTCAGCTTAGTACCTGGAGAGAATAGGTGGCATTGTAGATACTCTTGATGGGCACGTCACTGCCATCCTTCGTGCACTGGCTATATGGCTCGCTCAGCTTGAAGGACTCTGTCTAAAATCCCAAAAAAGCAAACTGAGATGTCCTGTAGTACAGCCCTAGCCCTAGTCACAGGGAAGCAATGACTTAAATGGTTAACCAAAATGGAGACGGGAGGTTTTGTGGCACACAATGGAAAGTCGATATTCGGAGTCAGAGGATTTGTGTTCCTATCTCAGCTCCCATCTTTTATGTTGGTCTTGGGCAAATCATATTTTCTCTGGGCCTGAGTTTCATCATCTGTGAAATAGGAGGGGTGATGTCTATAGACTAGATGACTTCTAAGACCCTTTTCAACTCTAAATCTATGATCTATGAGGAAAACGGAATAGGAATAATGAGAAATAATTTTTTTTCCTGACCACCCTCTGGACCTTAAAAACCCTATCAAAGGTCTATTTCTAACATATCCCTCCATTAAACTGAAAACTCTATGAAGGGCAGAGAATATGCTTTGTTTATCTTTGTTGTTCTTCCAAGTGGCTAGTATAGACTTTGAAGTTAGTCCTTACATAAATGTTTGTTTGAATAAGTCAAAATGAATTGAACTAATCTCTCTTCAATAACCACACCTATGGCAAACTAACTTGTCTAACCACAAGATGACAATTTGCTGGTAGGGTGACCTATTTGTCAAGCACTCAGAAGGAAGTCATCTGCCTCCTGAGTCTTGGACTTGCAAGTGAATCCTGTTGTGATAACTGTAAATGTCACATTTAGAAGTGAGGTGGATAAATTGAGGGGTCTTTTCAGACTTCAGTACATTGAACCTACTGAACCCTGGGATTTCTTTCAGGTTTCTCTCTGGGAGAATCTGGAGGTTCAGGGAGATCTTTAGCTAGGAGAGGCCATTTAAGGTCTGCTCCCTCAGACCGCTGTTTTGGGAGGAGTCCAAGACCTTAGAAAGTTCCTTGAGTGAGTTCATCAAATGCTACGGAGGGCTTGGCTTCCTTGGTTTTAGGAAAGCAGGGTCTCCATTGTAAAAGAACGAGACTAAGGTTCCTATCTTTGGGTCAGGGGTCAGTGTTATTGCCTCTCAGGCATTATTGTTAGTAGCACCTCTAGAAAAGCATGGCCTTTGAACCTCCTTTTCTGATTCTGGGTACCATTTTGTGTGGCTGAACTCAGCCTATGTAGCACTTGGGCATCAGCCCAGCTTTGGAAAGTCATTGTAAGTTTCTCCAGGCAGCAGTGTCTAAGATCACCACACTTTTAGCTAGTAGTGATACATCTGTGCCAGTTGAAGCAACTCTGAAGCTGTTGGTTATTCCTGGAGCATTAACCAGCTGCTTTGTGTGCTTCACGGAAAAGCTGTGCTGACATATCAGGTTGATAAGTTTGAGTCAAGCTTCATTCAGAGTGTGCTGGTTGGGGCTGCCCAGGTATTAGTCTGACTTTGAGAACCTGGCAGCCAGGCTGTCTTGTTCTAGGCAATCTATTTCGAATTATTTTTCATTTCTTGACTATCTGATCAACAAAATAGCCCTGGACTTTGAAGAGATAGTTATCAGACCTTATGATTCCAGGGCTGCTTGGGTCATGTTTCCTGGCTGGGTAGGAGGCTCACACTAGGCATGTGGTGATGGTTGGGGAGGGGGAAAAATGGTTCTTTGGGCCCAGAAGCCCCTCCTTTTCAAGCAGCTGAAATCACCCAGACAACCACCCACATGGTTATGAGGCTCAGATGGCTTAAAGAGAATTTCTGAAATTAGATGCCTACATGCTTTTTCACTGTTATCTTCTGCCTTGGCATCACGGGCTTAAATCACCCCGAGTGGGGAGGGGAGGAGTAGCTTCTTTCCATTCACTGTACCTTTTATCTACCATTGTGAGGTTTAGTTTCCCTGAGGTGGCAGAAAGAATTCCCTTATTTCTATGTGTAGAAAGAGCCAGAATGCCCTGAACTCAGCTAACCCTTATAGGATTATAGATCCTATATAGATCCTATAGCTGGAAGGGATCTCAGGGGATATTAATTGTTTAACCCCTTCATTTTATGGATGAGAAAACTGGAACCCAAGGAAATTAAGTGACTTGCTCAAAGTCAAACAGATAATAAATGCCAGAAGTGGGTTTGCTTGGGGTTCCTTCCGGTGAGTCATAGAATAGACTTTGTGGGGGAGCCAACAAGTGGAGGATCCTACCCTGACACCAGGATCCAGTATTATCACTGCATTGGTATCCATAGGTAAGCAAGTTGAAGAAGAAAGGCCCAGGGTATTAAGAGCACCCAGAGGCAGCCTGAGTGACCAGGTAATATATGAGCAGAATGAATGAGAAGACCACCTTGGCTGAATCAAGCAGCTCATAAGAAGAGAATCTTTAAGAGAATGGCTGATTCCTAGTAGGCTCTTAGACTGGGAGACAGTCAGCTCCGGAGTCCCAGTCAGGTCCTGATCCTGGATTTCATGATTAGATCTATTCTTGAGGCTCAGCCTGGGCCACCGGTAGGGATCCTGCAGCCTTGAGGCCATATGTTGCCCTCTAGGTCCTCAAGTGTGACCCTTTGACTGAATCCAAACTTCATAGAACAAATCCCCTTAATACAAGGATTTGTTCTGTAAAACTTGGACTCAGTTAAAAGGCTGTACCCAAGAACCTAGAAGGCTACATGCGGCCTCAAGGCCACAGGTTCCCCACTTCTGATGGGCTCTCATAGGAAAACAGCAATGTCTGCCTTGACCAGACAGCTTCTGGGAAGTTCCCAGAATGGCCAATCAGCCTGCCTGACTACCAACCTGCCTATCATTTCTGTATTTCAGTACCTAGTGCCATTTAACTTGATGATTATTATACTATCTTCTTCTATGAGGTTCTTAACCTACAGTCCATGATCTTGTTTCTTAAAAAATATTTTGATAACTATACTTCAATATAATTGGTTTCCTTTGTAATTCTATGTATTTTGTTTTATGCATTTAAAAGTATTACTTTGAGAAGGGGTCCAAAGGCTTCACCAGACTCACAAAGGGCTCCATGACACAAAAATGGCCAAGGACCCCTGATCTAGGGAAAGTTGACTTTCCAAGAGTTGCTTAGCTAAAAAGTCAGTCTTGTTTCATCTCTGATTCCTTTCCCAGTCTCTGGTAATTGACTAGTCATCTACTATATATCAGGCACTGTGCTAAGCTCAACAGATACAAAGAAGGGCAAACGACAGTCTGTTCTCAAGGAGCTCACAATTTAAAGAGGGAAACAGACAACATGAAAACAGCTTTGGGCAAACAAGCTGTGTACAGGATAAACTTAAGATAATCAGCAGAGGAAAAATACTAGCATAAAGGCGATTGGGAAAGGCTTCTTGTAGAAGGTAGACTTCTAGCTGAAAATTGAAGTAAGTCAGGAGGTACGGATGAGGAAGGAGAGAGTTCCAGGAATGGAGGACAGTCAGTAAAGAAGTCAGTATCACTGGATCACAGAATACTTGGGACGGGGAAGAGGGGTATAAGGTATAAGAAGTTTGGAAAGATACTAAAGGGTAAGGTTGTGAAGGGCTTTAAAAACCCAAAAGAGAGGGGGCAGCTAGGTGGTGCAGTGGATAGAGCACCGGCCCTGAAGTCAGGAGGACCTGAGTTCAAATCTGGCCTCAGACCAAACACTTGACACGTACTAGCTGTGTGACCTTGGGCAAGTCAGTTAACCCCAATTGCCTCACAAAAAAAAATTAAAAATAAAATAAAAACCCAAAAGAGGATTTTATATTTGATCCTGGAAGTGTCAGCAGGGAGCCACTGGAGTTTATTAATTGGGGGTGGTGGTGACATGGTCAAACTTTTCTTTAGGAAGATCAGTTTGACATTTGAGTAGAGGATGGACTGGCAGGGGAGAGGCAGAGAGACCAACCAGTTGGCTATTTAAATAGTCCAAGTATCAGAGGAGAGGAAGGAGCATATGCAAGAAATGTTGTGAAAGCAGAACTGAAAGGACTTGAAAATAGATTGGATGTAGGGGATGAGATTGAGTGAAGAGTCAAGGATGATACCTAGGTTTCAAGCCTGGGTTACTTGGAAGGATGGTGATACCCTAGACAATAACAGGAAAGATAGGAAGAAGGGAAGGTCATTTGGGGAAGTTAATGAACCCAGTTTTGGACACATTGAATTTAACATGTTTATGGGATATCCAATTTGAGATGTCTATTAGGCAGCTGGAGACGCAAGACTCCATGTGTGACCTTGGCAAGTCATTTCTCTCAGTCTATTTCCTCATTTGTACAATGAGGGGGTTGGGATAGATGACTTCCAAGGGGTGTAAGAATGAAAGTCAGGAGAGAGGTTAGGACTGGATTCACAGAATTGGGAATCCATTGCATGGAGTTGACAACTGAATCCACAGGAACTGAGATCACTGAGTGAAATAGTATAAAGGGAGGAGAAAAGACAGCCCACAACAGTCTTGGGGGAATCCATGGTTAGTGGGCATGACCTGGATTAAGATCCAGCAAAGAAGACAGAGAAGGAGTGGTCAGACAGGTAGGAGAACCGAGAGAGCAATGTCACAAAAACCCTGTAGTGAAGAGAGTTATCAATGAGAAGATAATCAAAAATGTCAAAGGCTGCAGAGAGGTCAAGAAGAATTCATGCAGGTTCTTCCTTTGGCTCTGTCCACTCAATATCCCAAAGGTTTTTTAAGCTATTACCTGACAATTCCCAAATTTACATCTTCAAACCTAATTTTGCACTCACAGTCCCACAGTAGGAAACTGGGCCAAATACCCTCATGTCTTTCACCATTTTGTTCAAAAAGATCACAGGTATAGATATCCATCTGTGACCCAGTGGAGAAAGCACAAGATTTGGAGTCTGATGGCTTGAGTTTGAATTTCAGCTCTGGTACTTATAACCAGTGGGACTTTAGAAAAATCATTTAGCCATCCTCCCTTCCTTATCTGTAAAATGAGGGAAAAAATAGGATTAATTTTTCTTCCTGCTAAGTTTACAGATCCCTTGGAGGAGGGTGTGTCTATGGACCCTCCTTTGAGAACCCCTGCCTTAAATGGATTGACAGCCTAGGCTGTGTAATTTCTATTATTCTAGGACATGCCTTGGAGCACATAACAGTCATCACTTACCAGGTGCATTCCTATCGAAGTGGCCATGGCTGTCTCAATTTCTGTTCCTATGTCTTCAATAAAGGGATATTCATCCTGCCTGTGGATAACGACCTTAGCCCCAGTTGATGATATCAAGAAGGGGTTATATTCTTCTTCATCTACGTAAAGGACGACCTGCAGTCCTGGAGGGAAGAAGAAGGCATGTTCAGAGACCTGAGATTTCAAGGAAACTCTCCATGAGATATGCATAGAGACACTGTGATAGGGATACTCATAAAAAGAGGCCAAAAACCAATGTGGAAATTTGTTTGACTTGATTACAAAGTTGCTTTTTTTTTTTTAAAGTGGGTGGGGGAGTATGACAGCTAGGGTTGCCTTCACACAGTGAAAAGAGAACAAAAGGAAATCCCTAAGGAATCACAGACAAGCAGGACAGCTTTGAAAGTTACATGTTGAATTTGTATTATATTTTTAAAAAGCAAGAGATGCAGCTTCATGTAAACCTAAGCTTCTCTTCCTGTTCTAAAATGCATATGAAAATGCTCATTTACTAGGGATTTATTAAGTTCTCAATAAAAAGAAAAGTAAAGTAGAAGACAGAAGCAAATGTGAGAAAAGCTAGCCTATTTCAAGACCCTCAAAGACTCAGGCAAAGGGGCAGCTAGGTGGCACAGTGGATAGAGCACTTCCGTTTATTCTTGAAAATCTGATCCGAACATTGTACACAGTAACAGCAATAGAGTAACATGATCAAACGTACAAGACTTAGCTACTCATCAACACAATGACCCAAGACAATTCCAAAGTACTAAAAAAAAAAATGCTATCTACATCTAGAGAAAGAAATGATGAGTACATATTGAAGCATATTTTTTCACTTAAAATTTTTTTGGCAACATGGCTAATATGGACATATATTTTGCATGACTTTTGATGTATAATTGACATCATACTGTTTGTCTTCTCAATGGATAGGGGAGGGACTGGAGAAAGGAAGAGAATTGGGAACTCAAAATTTTTAAAAAACGAATGTTAAAATAAAGTATAATTATTAAGAAAAAGAAAGAAAATCAAATCTAACCTATCTTTCCAGGCTAGATTATACATCACTTCCTTCTCTCCCTCCCCACCTTGAACACTGTTTCAATCAAACTGACCTATTCTATTCCTTTCACATTACATATCATTTGTCAGATTGTACAGTGTCTCCATGATCTGGAAAATCCAAATAAAACTTTTTGGCCCTCCAGAGAAGAAGTTTTAATTATTATGGTATTAAAAGATAAAATATGTTGATATTATACAATACCATATATATTTTTATGCATTTCTGAGTTTCTAAATTTTTTCTGTGTTGTCTGCTGCTTCTGCAAAACTCCCCCCAAATTCCCATTTAATTTCTTATGCCAACCTGAGATACATCAAAACTGAGATGGGGAAAGTCTCAATGTGGAAGGAATAACTGGATCTATTGTTCTCCATACACAACCCTACATCTCCCATCTCTGTCTTGACACAGGCTGAAACCCCATGCCTTGGAATGCTGTCTCTTTTTATCTCTACCTCTGGGAACCCCTAACTCCTTTGAAGGCTCAGCTCAAATACCCGCTCCTTCCTAAAGCCCTTCTTGATTTTTATCAATTGTTAGTGTCCCTGACACCATTCCTTTGTCTATATATTGAATTTTCTTATCTGGGTACACATTGTTTTTCTCTCTCCAACAGAATGTAAGTTTCTTGAGGACAGGAACTGTTTCATATGAATCTTTGTATCCCCAGTGCCTAGGTACGTGGTACATGTTTAATAAATACTCATTGGATAAAAGCTTACAGTCCTTCCTGTCAATGGAGGAAGACATCTGACTGACCTGGATCCCAGTTTTGCCCATTACTGGGCCTCTTCACCTACCAATGGAGGCTTTGCTAAACACAGGCAAATCTCACTTCGTGCATACTTATCACAGGTTGATATTTGTGCCTTTGATGAAGCATGGCACTTTTCCAGTTTTCATATCAGGTGTTTTATTTTGAACAGGTGTTGGCAGGCATGGAAGCTGGTCACAGACCTATTGGATGAGTCAGCCCTACAAGGGTGCTTCTCAGATAAATGCCCAGTAGTCTCTTTGTTATCAGTTGGTTGAGTATTAGGGCCAATCCACTTTCATTGTTAGCTGGGTAATACCAGTTATAGGAGCCAGGAACACTATTACTTCTTAAATACTTCAAGGATCACGTACCATACAGATACCGTATGGGTAACAGCCTAGTGGGAGGCATCATTGTATCGTGGGTTTTGAACTAGAAACACCTGTGTTTGAATTCTGCCTCAGAGATTCAATTAGCTGTGTGACCCTGGGCAGATTGTTTAACCTCTCTTAGCCTCAGTTTCCTCATCTGTAAAATGAGGATGATAATAGCACTTATCTCACAGGTTGCTGCGAGGATTAAATATTATAATTCACCTAAAACACTACGTTGATCTTCCTTCTGTCAGTAAGGATTGCATCTCACCAGATCATTGAGTCCAACTCCTTCATTTTACAGATGAGGAAACTGAGGCACAAAAAGGTTATGTGACATGTTCATGGTCACATGGACAGTCATTAAGTATCCAGGGTGGAATTTGAATACGGGTCCTCCTGATTTCAAGTCCAGTCTCCTATCCTCTAACTCATGCCTCCTAAGCACCTCTGAGCCTCAGCTTCCTCATCCATAAGGTGAGAATAATAAACATAACTACCTTATAGGGTTCTTTTTTGGATCCAGTGAGATAATGTGTGTAAAGTTGCAAACCTTATAATGATATATAATTGTGAGCTAGCATTTAAACAATTTCTGAGAGTTCATAGGATTATAGATTTGGAGATGAGAGAAAGGGACTTTAGTGGTTATCAGGTACACCCCTATTCATTTTCTGAGACCCAGACAGGTCGAGTTATGCCAAGATCACTACTTGTCCCCATGCCTGGAATGTTCTCTTTCCCTCATCTCTGTCTTCTGGCTTCCCTGGCTACCTTCAAGTCCCAGCTAAAATCCCATCTTCTACAGGAAGCTCTTCCCAACCTCCCCTTATTTCTCTTTTGGTTGTCTCCAATTTATCCTGTCTATATCTTGTGTCGTTTGCATGTTGTTTCCCCGATAGGATTGTGAGCTCCTTGAAAACAAGGATTATCTTTTGCTTTGCTTGTATCCTCAGTGCTTAACACAGTGCCTAAAGAAGGAGGGATGCATCACATCCCAAGGAAACCTACTCTACTTTGGGGGCAGTTAGGTGCTGCAGTGGATAGAGCACTGGCCCTGGAGTCAGGAGGAGCTGAGTTCAAATCCAGCCTCAGACACTTGACACTTACTAGCTGTGTGACCCTGGGCAAGTCACTTAAACCATTGCCTAACCCCCTCCCCCCCCAAAAAAAACCACACACAGAGTGCCCGGCATATAGTAAGTGCTTAATAAAAGCTTGTTGACTTGTTTTTCTCAAATGTGGTCAATGTTGGAAGTGGGATTTGAACCAGATTCTTAGACTTCAGAGCCAGTGTTCTTTCTGCCGTATCATTTGGCAGACTGTAGCAACCTGTGATGGGCCTCCTTAAACAAATGGCTGATCACCAGGCATATGCTCGAAGCCTTTCCAGCTTGGGAGGACCTGCCAGAGCATAAGGTCTGATGCCACAGGCCTCCAGAATCTATACTCAGCCCTTTGCCATGATTAGGCATCAGAGTGGGACCTTCCCAGAGGATCATCTTTACTATTACAAGCCAATAAGGGCATATTTCCATTGCCTAAGCCATCTGTAAAAAGCTTACCTGAGTGGTTTTTCTAGGTAAGAAGTTTGTAGGATCATAAATTTAGAGCTGGAAGGGACCTTAGAGTTCATTTACTCCCAAGCAGGCAGCTAGGTGACACAGTGATTGGGGTGTTAGGCCTAGGGTCAGAAGACCTGAGTTCAAATTTAGCCTCCAACATTTACTAGCTGTGTGACCCTGGGCAAGTCACTTAACCTCTGTTTATCTCAACCATCCTCAAAATGGGGATAACAATAGCATCTACCTTAAAAGGTTGTAAGAATCAAATGAGACGATTTTTGTAAACCGCTTAGCACAGTTCTTGGCACATAGTAGTTATATAAATGCTTATTCCCTTTCTTCCCCCTTCCTTTTCACCCCCTCACATTTTTCAGAAGAGGAAACTTAAGATCCAGGGAAGGGAAATGACTTCCCTAAAGTCACAGAAGTTAAGTGGCAGAGTTGGTATTCCATCTTTTGCCTCCAAACCCAGGGCTCTGTCCATTGTACTTTCAACAGAGGTCAGAGGAACTCAAAAACTGATACAGGAATTACACTATCTTATGGAAGTAGCAGCTGCTACTATCTCAAAAGGGGCTATCTCAAAAGGAATCTAGGTGGGTAATGCATTACAGTATTACAAGTTCACAGGCTTCGAAGAGAGCTCAGAAGCCAGCTAGTCCAACCAGAATCTGATCTAGAATCTGCCTCCTGAGTGGTCATTTAGCCTTTGCTTGAAACTCTCCAGTGAGGAAGACTCCGCTACGACCTCCAGAGGCATCCTATTCCACTTTGGAAATCGCTTGTCTGAGGCAACCTGGCTTGCTGAAGACCATGTTGGACTCGGTGGCTGGGAAGACCCTGGTTCAGATTCTGCTTCTAACACCTTTCAGTTCTACGCCTCTAGTGAAATCATTGACTCTTTCTGAGCCTCGGTCTCCTCATCTGTAAAATGGGGCTAAAAAATAATAGCACCGAGCTCACAGGGTTGCTCTGAGGCTCAGATAAGATAATGTAAGCAAAGTTATTGGTTCTTCTTTAAGAAGTTTTTCTCCCTTATTTCAAGCCTAAATTTCCTTCCTTGTGACTTCTAATGGATTCTAGTTCTGCCTCCTGGGGCATCAGACAGCAAAGTGGGGGAAGGAGTGGTTCCTGCAGAGCATATTCTGGGAAACAGGCAGTGACATCCCAGGTCTTTGGCCAGAGGGAGGAAGCTAGACATTTCTTTAAGGATCTTCATATTCCCACTGTTCCAGTATTACCAAGTCACTTCTGAGTGACCACAGCTCCCGTTTTCTTACCATATTCACTGCCTCCCATGGAAGTACTGAGAATGGTCTCATTGGTGGCGCCATTGAAGGTGTAACAATTCCCATACATTGGATGATGGAAACGATGGAAGTTCCTACAGGGATAAAACTGGGTCAGATGGTTCCAGATCTGGGACTTTTCATTGAGTTCTTCCTGTCTCTTAAATAAAGTCGAATCAGGGAGGAGAGCATTGGTGTGTTGGGGGCCCTAATACAGTTCATTTGCCCTTCTCCCCTCATCCCTCCTTGGGAGTTGCTATCAACAATCTATTTCTTCCCCTGCCTCCTCCATCAGCATTACCTGCCTCGCTACTTTTCCCTTGACTTCTGCTATATCTCTGTCCCTATGCCTTTGTGCCCTTTAGTGATTACTATTGTCATCTATCTTGTTCTTATCGTATTTGATGGAATTCAGATAGAAACAGTACCGAGATTCTCTTTTATTTAATGTCCTACAGATTATTATATAGGTCAGTGGTTCTCAAATGTTTTTGGTCTCAGTAACCCTCTATACTCTTAATAAATATTGAGGACCTCCTCCAAAGAGTTTTTGTTTGCATGGGTTATATCTATTGACATCTACCATAGTAGAAATGAAAATATTGTAGTATAATTATGAAAACAGTTTTGACCTCACGGACCTGCTGAAAGGGTCTCAGGAAGGGGGTCTCCAGATCACATGTTGAGAACCACTGGCATAGATGGGTAAAATAACTGCTTTTTTATAATTGAATAAAAGCAGTGGGATGTAATTTATAGGTTCACGAAAAGTGTATTTGGGACAATTATTTATTATTATTATGAGTCAACATGGTGTAATGGGTATAGAGCTAGCTATGAGGTCAGTAAGACCTAGATTTAGGTCCTGCCTCTAATATATCCTGCCTGTGTGACTCTGAGAAAAATCACTTAATTGTTCAGTGCCCTGGGTAATCCTCTAAAGTTACTGCTGATCTGCATTGGTAGAGGGAGTTTCCTCTCTGGGAATTCCTCATTCCAATGACATCATAGGTTAGATTTAAAAATCATTATTGTTAATAGGAATAGAGACTGGACTTGTTATTTTGTTGATATAAGGAAGCACTTGGGTGATGAAATTCCCTTTGCCAATGCAGGTTGGCACCCTGTCTGCAACTATTATTATTGTTATTATTATGATTATCATGAGTACTAGTACTAGTAGTAGCAGTAGCAGTAATAGTAATATTATTAGTTAGAAATCAAAACAAGCCTTGGCTTCTCTCCATTCACTTTCTCCTCCTCCACTAAAATTTCCCACCCATGTGTCAATTGTATAGTAAAGGGAGGAAACAGGATTCCAAAAAGGAGAGTCAGGGTTGAGACACACAGTCCACTCTCAGCTTCTACAACCTACAACTCAGCACATCCCTCTGTGGCAAGAGAATGTTGAAGGTTTCAAATGGGGTAAGGGCAGTGGCATTTCCCTTGCTGACCTGGGATCACAAGAAACCCCATCAAAGAAGCAGGTCACCATCAATTCCTCTGCAGAGTAACTCATGTTGATTTTCTTCTCCAGGGGCACTTGTGCCATGATATTCATATAGTGCAGCTTGTACCATTCCCGAATGGCGTTGACCCCAGAGTTGAAGGTATATGTTGCACAATCGTTACTGGTGCCATTTTTTTCACACTGTGAATGAGATGAGATGGTATCTGTCAGCCCCTGCTAGCAATGGGTAGCTGGGAGAAGGCTGCCCACTACCCGAATGGGAATGCCCAGGCCATACAAAGAATTTTATCTCACTTTCCTCAACCACCTTGGCTAGAACTCAGGTGTCATTATGTTAGTAGCCTCATGAATGATGGTGCCTTGGAGTTAGATAGGGTGGGAAGGGATTGTCTTTGTGCTAAGGAATTGTCATTCTAGACCTAGGCGACAGGGAGAGCAGGGAACATGTATGGACAAGATTCTTTTTTTTTTTTTTTTGGCAAAGGACTTGGACAAGAGTGATTACTGTTATTGGCAGCCTTCCTAATGTTGAAAATTCCAAGAATAGACCCAGGCAGGCAGAATAGATCTGGATGGCAAAAGTGAAGCATTGTATGGCGGCAGAAATAACACACTTCTGCTTACACTGTACAGATCTGAATATAAGCCACACCCAATATCTGACTTTTATAAAACTTGAGTGTAACCTAAAAATGAGGGTTATTTTTTAGTGCACATACATCTAGACCTACATATGTAGATAGGTATCTTTATCTAAATCTAGATATAGTAATCAATCAACAAGCATTTATTAAGGGCCTACTATGTGCCAGGCATTCATTATGCTAGGCACTTAGGATACTAATACAAAGAATAAGCCAATCCCTACTCTAAGAGAATTTATATTCTATTGGAGAAGATAAGTACATATATCAACATATACAGAATAAATACCAATAAGCACAAAGTCGTTAAAGGCAGAAAGGTACTAACAGATGAGAAATCAGGAAAGACTTCATGTAGAAGAAGGTGTTTTGAGCTGTGTCTTTAAAGAAGAGAGGGATTCTATGAGACAAAAGTGAGGAGGGAGTGCACAGCGATAGATATGTACATTTCTGCCTCCTGGCATCTCTAGTTCCATTCCGGGCTTATCTTCCATGCACTCTCTTACATAACTACTTTCCTTATCCCCCAGTTGTTAACAATTCCCCTTGCTCCTCCAATACAATAACTTATTTTATAAAGATTTGTATTTATTTAATTGTGCACATGTTATTTTCTACTAACAGACATGTAAGCCCCTTGAGGGCAGGGTGCTATTTTCCTTTTTGTCTTTGTATACCTAGCATCTAGCACCATACCTGAAACATTGTAGGAGCTTACAAAATGCTGGTAGAATTGAACTGAGTTTTTCATTTCAAAGACATCTCATTTTAAGGTTGCAGTCTATTTATGTTCAATTATCGCCTACATTTGGACTGACATGTTATAAGCACATGCATGTGCATGCACACACACACACACACACACACACATTCACACATCAAGGAGAATCCATAGAATGGCTCTCACCATCTGGAAGCCCACAGTTTTCTTGGTCTCCTGCACATGCATAACATCTGAGGCCTTCTGGATGATGGTGCCACTGACTTTCCGTTTTCTTCCTGTCAGGAGGTCGGTAGCTTCCGTGGTCGTATCATCTGACTCAAAGACCATAAGAGGCAGGATGTTCAAGAATTTTGAATGGCTGTCTCCCTCAGTCGATTGGGGGACATCAGCCTCACGCCGCTTCCGGGATTTGATGTTGGAAAGTCCATATAAATTCTTCAAGGCATTTTTGGTCTCTTGATCCAAGCCAGCCAGAAGATCTTTCACAACACTGTACCTGTCAGGACGTAAACATGAGTAATGAAATGCAGAGAGAGAACAGAGCCCCTCCCTAGCAGACCAACTCCAGGCAAAGCATAATGTGCTTTTCTCATGCTGCCATGAAAAAAGTACCAAACTTTGCCAGCACCTGATTTCGTGACACCCTCCCATACCTCTCCCCTCTAGGAAAAACACAGGCAATAAATTTTTTATTCTGTGCTTGCTGCCAATGATTACTTGCATTGCAGGCAACTGGAGGTAGGGGACGGGAGAGAGAGAGAAGAGACAGAATCATAAAACCTCAGAGATCAGAGAAGACCCCAGGCCCATACCTGAACAAAAATCCCCCTACTAGACTCCCAACAAGTGGTCATCCAGCCTTGACCTACGGGCCTCTAGGGAGGGAGAACCCGTTACCTTCTAAGGCAACTCATTCCACTTTTGGATAGCTCTAATTGTGAGGAAGTTTTTCTCAACATCAGGTCAGGATTGTTGATTTGCTCCTAATTTAGTCCTCTGGGGCTGGGGAGAACAAGTTTAATCCCTCTTTCATGAGAGACTTGAGAATACTTGAAGCTAGCTGTCATGTGAGCAATGGTCCTGGAGTCATAGGAGATGGGTTCAAATCCCACTTCTGGTCCTTACTACCTCAGGAGGTCATATAACCTCCTTGGGCCTTCATTTCATCATCTATAAAATGAAGGGGTTTAACTTGATGCCCTTGGAGGTCACTTCCTGCTTTAGATCTAGGATCCTATGAACTTTAGCCTTATCTTTGCTAACCATCCTTAGTTCCTTTAACTGAATCTCACATAGCATGATCACGAGGCCCTTATAACATATAAAAACCTCTTACATTGTATAATCCCTTTCTCACTTTTCTCCTCTCTAGATATGAATGACTCCATCTGATATGACAACTGTAAAATGATAATTAACTCCTATTTATCATACTCAGATTACTTCAAGGCGATATCAGCTTTGAGGCCCGGACCCAAGAGTTCATTGTCTCACTTCTTATCTGAGTCATGGGGCCCATCCCCTTGTCTAACACGGTGGGCTCCAGGACAATGGCTAGGATGTGGCAATGATGAGGGTACCCTGGGCATGGTAGTTATGGTGCTGGCAAGGAAGGGGACATAAATGCTTTCTTAGATTATTTGCGCTAACGACTCATCCCCTGTACCGTGTGGGTTAAGTAATAGCTGGCTGCATATACCTTACATTTCTAACTTCTTGTGGTTACAAAGCACTTTTACATTCATTATGTCATGGGATCTTCCCAACCTTGTGAGGTAGTCAGGGCAGAGGAGGAAACTCAAGGTCAGAGAGTTTAAATAGTCTTCTAAGTCCGGTGTTCTTTCCACTACCTCACACTATCTGTGTACCATTAACTACATTGGAATTCGACTTTCTTGGTACCATAGGGTAGGTTAAGAGTCAGGAGATCTGAAACTCACTCTGACATTGACTCACTGTATGACCTTAGATGTCACTTTTTGGAGGTTCCTCCCTATTCCCTGCACACTGACAAAATTCAAGATGCTTCCTATCTGCCTCATGAGGCAGTTTGAAAGATTCTATAGCAGACAGCTAGAAGGTGACCCAGTGGTCACCTTGCTAGGGCTTGTTTTCTATGGGCTACCCTGTCTCATGCCCAGGGATCCCAATTAGTGGGGCTAGGTCCAACCAGGCCTGATGTCTACAGCTGCTCAATTACTGATGGGGTTATTTGGGCAATTTTTTCAGGGTTGCACTTCACTCTCTGAGTCAATGTCAGGCTTAAGACCTGAGTTCAGAGAGGGTATGACCTGGAGGTCTGAGAAATGCCAGCTTGGGCTAACGAGCTATGGCTTAAGGGCAGCTCTGACTTACTCTAACAGTGGGATGCCACTGTCTTAAGCAAAAGCTCTCCTGTTAGTAATGTATAACTAACATATGTATGTATGTATGTATGTATGTATAAGTAACTAACGGACAACTGTGTATTCTACCTACCTATATTTCTCTTTTATCCCCTACTAGACAGTAAGCTCCTTGAGGGCAGGAACTCTTATTTATAGCTGGCTACACCTGGCATGTATAGTATCTTTTTTTTGTAGTTGCAATTCATAGGATCACAGATCTAGAGTTATAAGGGTCCTTAAAAGACATAGGGCCTAGTCCCTTGATTTTACAAATGAAGAAACAGAGGCCCAAGGAGATGAAATTCTCTTTTTATATGTGTGTTTCTTGTCTCCTTAATTACATTGTCAGCTCCTAGATGGTAAGGCCTGTCTTATAATCCTCCTTGTAGGGCACTTAATAAATATTTGTTAATTGGTAAGATCACGTAATCCGACATTTCTGTTTTTTAGATGTTTCCACATTGGTCCATCCATTCCAATTGTATGGTATTAACTGCAATCATCCCTAATTTGGGAAAGCGGCAATAGGCAGTCAGACCCCTATCTCATTAACTACTATAGGTCCTCCTTCATACAAGAGTAAGAAGAGTGCTGTTGGAAAACAATAAATATGGGGCAGCTAGGTGGTGCAGTGGATAGAACACTGGCCCTGGAGTCAGGAGGACCTGAGTTCAATTTGGACTCAGACACTTACTAGCTGTGTGACTCTGGGGGCAAGTCATTTAACCCCAATTTCCTCTAGAAAAAGAAAAACAATGAGCAGTGTTTCTTTAACGTTTTTGTGTTATGGTAAAGCTTATTAGTATTCATAATTGAAGGAAATATTAGATTACAGTTAGAGGCTAGTAAAAAAGAAATATGTAATTTTGTCTGCCATCCAAGTTCAGAGACTGCCTAAAACTTATCCACCCCTAAGGAGTCCATGGAACCCAGGTTAAGAATTCTAAACTACAGTTCTTAATTAAAATTAAGTAACTCACTTCATTTTCCATGCTTGGAGTAAGAACTTTTTAAAACATGCTTATTTCATACTCTCTCTCCCTTTCTGTACAGCACATTATAATATACAGTATATATAATATATATTAGTATAATAATATATAGTGTATAAAACAATATCCATTTATATGTTCCCCTCCTCACCCCAAAGAAAAAGATCAGGAAATTTCACTCTATGAACCTATATGAACTATTTTATCACAGTAACCATAGCAGATTCTACTGTAAGGAGATCCCAAGGTCTTGAGTGGAATGGCTGGTTTTTGTCACATCAAAGACCCCCTTCCCTGATCCTCATATCCCAGTCTCTTACTTGTAAGGGTTGATGTTGCAGATGGTGACAGCCGGGAAATCGAGCTTCTGGAAACGGACCTTGACGGAGACAGAGACGGTATAAAAGGAGAGGACGAGCAGGGCGCACTGCCACAAAATGAGCCCCACCGCCACCAGTGTGAATATGATCCAAATAAGCCTGCGCAGACGGCCCCGGGACACCACAATCCGCCGGCAGCCGTGGGTGTTGGTGTTCAAGCAGTACCATCTCATCAGCTCCTTGATGGAGGGAGCCTGAGGACCCGTCACAGTCAAGTTCCTTTTGATTTTGGCTTTGATCTTCTCCCCAGAATCCATGGTGAAGGTTGGGCCTGGAAAGGGGAGCAGGAAAAGGTGGGGTGGTTAGGGAAAGAAGCGCCTTCTGCCAAACCCTGACTCTTCCCGATTGTTTCTCTTGGTCTCTTCCTTGTCTCTCTTGTCCATTCTTAGGAGGAGCCTCATTCCGGGGCTAATGCCAGCCAGAGCTGAGGGATATCTTGTTCTCTTTATCTGCTGGATACTGTGCACTTAATAGTCTGGCTCCTTCTCCAGGATATTTGTTTTTGACTGTGGTCTCTGCCAAAGAGTCTTGTTTTCTTCCCTTACAGCTACCGTTCTAACCCTGTAGGGTTCCTAGAGGTTTAACTAATGAATCACTGAAAAGGACCTAGCAAAGAAAATCCACTTTGGAGTTTTCTAGTAGGGCCAGCATAGAAAAATGAATTCTTTGCAGTTATTCCTTATTAATTTGATTGGTATGGCCATAAATCTGTAAATTAATTTCAGTAGTGATGTCATTTTTTAAAATTATATTGGTCTGAACAACGAAATCTCTCTTTGATTATTTGTCTTCCATTATTTCTGTTGTTTTGTAGTTATAGTCTTATAAGCCCTGAGTGTGGGGGTAGGTTAATTTCCAATATTTTGTTATAATTATTTTGAGTGGAATTTCCTTTGCTGTTTCTTCTTGCTGATTTTGTTAGCAATATTCAGAATGGCTGGTGATTTTTGTAGGTTTATTTTACATCCAGTTACTTTATTGAAGTTATTAAAACATGAACTCTCCAAAAACAATTCCCCATGTCTTCCTATGTCTTTTACTAGACCCATTCACTTTTGTGGAGCCCTTTCAGTGACAAAGACCTTTCCTTAAATTTCCTTAAATAATTAAAAAATTATTTTGTTTTTAATTATGGATTAAAGCAAGCGTTTCCATAACATAGTAAAATAAAAAAAGATGATTGCACATCTCATTTGATGTTTACAATCCTGAAAGGTGAGAAGTGCAAATATTACCAATCCCATTTTAGAGATCATCAAACTCAGGCCCATAGGGGCTAGATGATATACCAAATCAAATTCTTTTAACTCTACTTTCTATATAAAGAAAATATCCCTCCCAAACATCCTTTTCTTCTCCACTCACAAAGTGACCACCCTAGTTCAACCTCTCATTACCTCTTGTTTAGATTATTGCTAAAGCATCTTAATTGACCTCTTTGTATCTGGTTTCTCCCCTACCCTATCCATCCTCTCTTCAGCTGCCAAAATGGTAGCAAAGATTTGACAATATCATTTCCCTGCCCAAGGTATTTCAGTGGCTTCCCTTTCCCCCAAAAGTAAAATACAAATTCTTCTGTTTGGTATTGAAAGCCATATGCAATTTTTATTCTCCCTGTCTTTCTAAACTGACCTCATCTTAATCCTTCTGCCTAAATGGAACTCATCTTCCTCATGAATGCTCTCCCCTTCAAAAGTTTCCTATTGCTGTCTAGGGCACCACCATCCTCCCAGTCATCCAGACTCCATTGGGAGCTTCTACTCACGCTTTTCTCTCACTTGCATATCTAATCTTTTGCCAAGTCCAGTCAATTTCACCTTCAAAATACCTATATGCTCCTCTGACACTGCCACCAGTACACTTCAGTCCTGGACTATTTCAATAGCATGCGGATAGGTTTCTCTGCCTCAAGTCTCTCCCCATTCCAGTTCATCTCGCACTCATCTGTCAAATTAATCTTCCTAGGGGCAGCTAGGTGTCATAGTGGATAGAGTACTGGCCCTGGAGTCAGGAGGACCTGAGTTCAAATCTGGCCTCAGACATTTACTAGCTGTGTGACCCTGGGCAAGTCACTTAATACCAATTGCCTCTGAAAAAAGAAAAAAAGAAAAAAATTAATCTTCCTAAAGCACAGATCTGACCTACTTTGTTACCCTCTTAGTCAAAAAATTTTAGTGGCTCTCCATTGCCTCCTGGATCATATAAATTCCTGTTTGGTGTTTTAAGTCCTTTATAACCTCGACCCCTCACAGCTTTCCAATCTTTTTATACCTTATCCACTCCCAAGAACTCTGTGATCCAATGACACTGACCTCCTTGCTGTTCTTCACATAAGACTCTTGACTCTCACATTTTCTCTGGCTCTCCTGATGCTTGTAAATCTCTCTCCTAATCTTCCCCTCTTGGCTTCCCAGGTTCCCTTCAAGTTCTGACTAAAATTTTGCCTTTTACAGGAAACCTTTCCTAGTCCCCCTTAATCCTAGTGCCTTCCCTCTGTGGATTATCTCCAATTTATCCACTCTATAGCTTTAGCTATCTGTCTGTTGTTTGCCCCATTAAACCGTGACCTCTTTGAGGGCAGGGAACTTTGTTTTGCCTTTCTTTGTAATCCTTAGGCTTGGCACAGTGCCAGGCACATAGTAGGTGTTTAATAAATGCTTGTTGATCAACAAACTGACCTACATGCTATTCCTTCTCCTGAATCCCTCTCTTTGCACAGACTGTCCAACATTCCTGAAATGCTCTTGCCTCCTCATCTTTGTCTCACGGAACTCATGGAGCCCTTGAAAGCACAGTTCAGTTGCTTTTTATACAAGGCACTCCCTGATGGATTTCCAACTCCCCTCCCCAGGTGTTGTGTTCCTCTGCCCTTACTGGATATTATTTTGTATTTACTTTGTATGGATTTTGTATTTACTTCTCTGTATATTTATTGTTTTTCACCAGGAGAAGGTAAACTCCTTGAAGGCAAATGCAGGGCAAGTTCTCCAGTCTTAGTCCTCAGATGTTGCCTGGCATACAATAGACAATTAATAAAGGTTTGTAGAATTGAACTGAAGCTGGGATTTGAACCCAGATCTTCTGACTCCAAGTGACTGTTAGGTGCTACCCATTCTCCACTCCCTACCTCTTTAGCACTGACAGTCAAACAAGGGGCACCAGGAGGAGGAAGTAAAGGGGAAAGATCTGGATGATCCGTAATAGAATAGTCAACCCTTAGATAACTATACAGATATGCGCATTAATATGTGCAACAAAATAGGTTAGCCATATAGTAGTGGAAAAGGCAATGGATTTGGAGTCAAAAGAGCTTGAGGCAAATGTCCTTTCTGCCATTAACTGGCTATGTGATCTTGGGTGAGTAACAACCTCTCTGGGCTTTAGTTCTGTCATCTGTAAAATAAAGGGGTTAGACTAGATGAGATATGAGGTCAATTCTAACACTAAGTCTACAATCTTGTGATCTCTGTGGCCCCTTCTATATGGCATTCCTTTATCATCCACACAGTGGATTTTAATGCTATGGGCTTCCATGAGCAAGAGGAGGGAGAGTATAGGGACTTGGATGTGGCAAGGATTGGTACCCTGTACCCTGGACAATTGTTCTGATTTGCTTGTGTCTAGGTGGTGCAATGGATAGAGTGCCAGGGCTGGAGTCAGGAAGACTCATCTTCCTGAGTTAAAATCTGGCCTCAGACACTTACTAGCTGTGTGACCCTAGACAAGTCACTTAACCCCACTTGCCAAAGTTCCTCATCTGTAAAATGAGCTGGAGAAGGAAATGGCAAAGCACTTCAGTATCTTTGCCAAGAATACTCCAAATGGGGTCAAGAAGAGTCAGAGCTGACTGAAAAACAACTGAACAATAACAAGGTCTTTGCCCAGGAAACTGGATTTCAGGCTTCTCCTTTTCTCCACTACAGCATTTCCTCTATCCTAGACCCCTAAGCCACCCAAATGACACTCATCAGCAAGGGTGAGGGTATGAGTCAGTATGGTATAGCGGAAACAATGGATTTGGAGTCTGAAGATCTGGGATTGACCAGGGAAAGGAAAACAAATCATCTGGTGTTTGGAAGAAAAGAATCAGTGACATATTGGATGCCAAATAGCTCCAGCTCACCCCACAGGTACCTGGGGCTCTGTCTCCTTATTCTGACCCTCTCAACCCCCATCTCAGAGGAACTATTTCTATACTTCCACTGTAACAACTTTTTTAAAAGACCCAATCTGCAAAAATCCTGATGGATTCCTGGGATGAAAAAATAAAATATATTCTTTAAAGTTTTAAATCTTTTATTTTTTAGACTAATAAGAGGTAATCAGAAATAAATGATTTTGATTACTTGTTGGAAACTTTCACCAAGAACACACCCTCTCCTAGCCTAAGGAGAGACAGGGCCTTTTTGCTATTGAGTGCTTTGCAAGGTTGGTGAAGAATAAATTTGGTTTCCTTTGATTTGTTAAGAAAATATATTGTCAGTGTGACACCCTGAGAACAGCCCTGTGGAAGTGACCTAAGCCCTGCAACAGAGATTGAGACTAAAGCCTCAAGGAGGTAGTGTGTCATTTATCCTATGTACAATAAATTTTGTAATCACAATAAAATATGTCTGTTAAATCTATGATTTTGGAGGTCAGACTTCAATAATCTATCTGCTGCTACTATTTCTGATTCTTTCAATGCTCACAATTTCTTTCCTTAAAAGGGATTTTTTTTGGGAGGATACTTCTTTGATAACTAAGTCCATAAGAAACCGAAATCTTATCCCTTCCCTTCCCAGCCATGAACAGTCGTTAACTTTCAATACAGAATGAGGTTGAGAGCTGGAAGGGACCTCAGAAGTCATCTAGTTCAGTCTTTTCACTTGTACAAAAGCAGAAACTGAGGCCCAGAAAGAGCAATTTGGCTAACATTACACAGGCAATAAATAGCAAAGCTAGGTTTCTAACCCTGGTCTGCTGACTCTGTAGCCAGTGGTCTTTTCATATCTTCCCTGTTGGTTTCCCTTTCCTATCCAGCCTGGACCCCAGTCTGATACTTTTATCTTTCACTATTTATCACCCTAGGATCCCTAGCCATCCCTCCCAATACCCTATCTGAAAATTTTCATATCTAGGAAACTTCCACCATGTGCTTTCTTAATTTCTTCTCTCCTGCTTTCCAGCTGTTGAGCGCTGATGATACAGATGAAACTGATGATACAGATTTGATTTCATTCTCTGTAAATTTACTGTGCATAACCTCAGGCTCACTGGCTCACTGTTCAACCATCCATCTAGTCTACCCTTATCTATTACTACTTTTTCCCTCCATCCCCCAACTGTCTCATCACTTCCCATACTTGAGAAGATAATCCAGCCTGCTACTTCAATAAGATTTGAAGTCACTGGACAAAAGCCTTCTCCATAACCTTCCTGGAAATTTCATCAGCACCCACTCTCTCCTTCCCTCTGATGACAGAAGAGGTATTTTTAGTCGAAACTGAATCTCTCTACCTGGATCTTTGATTTCATTCTCTCCCAACTTCGCCAGGACCTTGCACTAGTGGTCACTTACAATTTAAGAATTTTTTTGAACCTGTTTTGATGTGGACAATCTTAAAGCCTTAACTTTTTTCATCCTTTCTCTTCAAGGACTGAATTATTCGACGGAAAATAAGACGTACCTGGACAAGGATGAAATTACTGAAACAGCTGGACTTTTCGCAAAGTGTCAAGGGTGGGCCATAGTTTGGTCAACGGAGTCTGTTTTTTTCAGAATTCTTGGCTTCAGAACTCAGATCCCTGAGAACACAGTCGCCCCGGGGGCCTCTCACTGCTGGAATGTAGCTGCTATGGGGATCTGAGCTGGGAGACTCTGGGCTCTTCCGTGCGTCAAGAGTGTTCACTCTTTTCTGACTCTGAGCACTCACTAAGTCAAGGCTACAGGGATAATTTGCTTATAAGCCATCCCAGCGTAGCGGGCAGGGGAGGCTTGGTCCTGATTCTATGGTTGGTCCTGGTTTTGCCCCTGCTTCAGGCTGGAAGCAGCTCTATTTGGGTAATGCAGATGACTGGAGCCGGACGCTCAGACCCTGGCTGGGAGGGAGATCAGCTTAATCTCCCGGCTGAGAAAACTGTAGAGCAGAGAGCCAGGGAAAGCAAGCTGGACCAGCAGACCTACCGGCAGCCGGAGCCCAACTCGAAGTCCCAAACATTCGACCCAGCTTCCCAGAAATCGGTGGCGCAGAGACACCTCTAGCACACTTCTGGGGCTATTCCGTCGGGGCCTTAAACTCACCTTGGTTCTTAGCTGAAGTGAGGTCCGGTCGAGGACAGTGGCAGAGCTACCGGGCAGTGAGAAGACGTATGCGTACGGGCTGTGCTGCGCTGCGCTGCGCTCCGAGACGCACCTGGGCATCTGCAGCACCCCGGCAGTCAAAGCCTCTTGTGAGCCGGCTCCAGTCTCCTCCTCCTGCCCCTCCTCCTCGGGCTGACCTCCCAGCCCTGACACCGCCCACAGGTGTCAGTCAGGCCGACAGGACTTAGCTCCATAGCTCCCTCTGAAGCCCCACAGCCGAACTGCGCGCAGTCACAGCTCTCCCAGCTGGTGCTAGTTGCGCGTGGGACCTGACCGTAGAAAAATCGTCTATTAAAGTCCTTTGGCCACAGGCTTGGGATTCCCTCGGGCAAGGGGCAGCGCCGGCCTTTGAGGTCCCCACGGGTATCCTTGCGCCTGAGCTTCATCAGACAAACCATTTCTCATCGGAGCCCTTGATTGGAGAAGAGCCTTCTGAATCCTCCCTCTTCCGCCAATTTGAAAGGCACATTGTCTTTTACCTTGCTGCTTTTGCGGAGGAGAAACGCGGCCCTCTAGCGATCCAACTGTGTTACTGCAAGATTGCTGGCGTTTGGAAATAACGTAGACAAAGACATCCTCGAAGACCCAGCTCCTTGCCTTCATCTACCTGTCTGTGCAGTCAGGTGAAGCAAGAAGGGGGTTGTTGTTGTTGTTGTTGTTGTCCTGACTCCAGGCCCAGAGCTGAATTTAAACTCGGCCTCAGACTAGTTGCGTGACCCTGGGCAAGTCAACTCTGTTTGCCTCAGTTTCCTCACATGTAAAATGAGTTGGAGAAGGAAATGGCAAACCACTTCAGTATCTTTGTCAAGAAGGCCCCAGATGGGGTCATGAAGGCTGAACAACGACAGCTACTCATTCATCTTATTTGGTTTTAGATAGTGGTTTTAACATCCCTATTATAAGACATTTCTGGTTCCTCACTCTTTTCTAATCCAACAAGCATTTAAATCTGCCATGTGCGTGGTGTTGCCATTGACTCTGAGGGTGCAAATACAAAATGAAAGTCAGTTCCTGCGTTCAAGGAGTTTATGATTTCCGTTCCTCCTTCTGGTAAGGGTCTTTAGCAGTAGGATAAATGCAATTAGCTTTTAGTCTTATTGAACTGGAAGGTCTCTTGGGATCATCTAATACAGGGATCCACAAACTAAGGCCTGAGGGCCAAATCCCACCTGGTTTTGTATGCCCTAGACTAGGAGTCATTTTTACCTTTTAAAATTAAAATCGGGGCTATATGGTACAGTGGAAAGAACACTGAGTAGAGGGGGCTCTATGTAAAAAATCAAAAACCATTCTTAGCTCGTTTTGGCCCTGAAGCAGTAGTGAATTCTCTCATTTTACAGATGAGGAAACTGAGGCACCAAAGGCATTTACTAATTTGCCCATATCACCCAGGGGGGTGGTAGCAGAGCTAAGATACAAACTGAGGGCTCCTGAATTCTAGGTCAGTGCTCTTCCTACCACACCTCACAGCCCCTCGTTACTTATCTATCTGAATTTATTACACGCCTTGCTTGTGGGAATGTGGTTGTCTGATGAATGTGGTACGTCCCTTGTTTGTGGGTATGTGGTACCTTTTCCCCACTTCCAAAAGCTTTCTAGGTAATCTAATTTTTCTGCTCTCTTGGTTAACTTTTTCTTGAAAAGCAAAATACCAAACCATTAAAAGGTATGTGACCCTGAGCAAGTAACTTAACATCTCTGGCCCTCAGTTTCCTCATCTGTAAATTGAGGGGGTTGGACTAAATGATCTATAGGGTTTTTTTTTTTGTTTTGTTTTGTTTTAGGCAATTGGGGTTAAGTGACTTGCCCAGGGTCACACAGCTAGTAAGTGTCAAGTGTTTGGTCTGAGGACGGATTTGAAATCAGGTCTTCTGACTTCAGGGCCAGTGCTCTATCCACTGAGCCACCTAACTGCCCCTATAGGGTTTCTCCTACAGCTAGCTATTCCTTCCACATCGTGACTTATCCCATCATGGTTCTGATATATCTCAGGTAGGCATAAGAAATTAAATGGGAATTTGGGGGGAATTTTACAGAAGCTGCAGATGACCTGTGAAGGCCAGCAGATGACACAGAAAAAAAGTTTAGAAACTCAGAAATGCATAATATATATACATAACGCATAATATCAACATAGTTTATCTTTTAATAACCATAATAATTCAGACTTCTTTTCTAGTGCAAGGGATGGCCAAAATTTATTATGTGGATTTTCCAGATCACGGGGGTGCTGTACCCCTTACCCCTGCAATGTGGAAGGGATACCTGTAGTTCTAAATCTGATCCTCTCTCATCCTCTAATTTTTTTTTCCATTTAAAAAGTCTCCTTTTCAGTTTTCCCCCTATTTCTTCATGTGTTTGGCATACCTGAGCACGGTCATGGTATGGCAGGGTCAATGCCTCTAAGTTATAAAGAACTGTATCTGGCCCAACCTATCTAGGCATTCAAGAAAGGCAGATCAGGGATGTAGGAGATCGCTCTGCATTCTTACCTGTGGGATAGTAAATTTGGGAGAAAGGAGGACACTATTCACTGATAGTGGTTCTATTTCATTGAGGTTTGTGTATTCAAAGACTGATTCCAAGACAAATATTAATTAAGTACCCATTGAGTACCTCGTACAAGCTACAGAGGGAGATACAAAGTTTAGATAAGCCCCACCACCCTCCAAGAACTTACTATCTAATAGGTAGATAAAACTCATACATAGATAATTATATGCAATGCGTGATCAGTTAATTGGAGAAATGCAAAATAAGGTACTAGTAAATAGGAAGGTGGGGGTGAGGTAGCAAATAAGGTTAAGTGACTCACCCAAGGTCACACCTCTAAGTGTCTGAGGCGAGATTTGAGCTCAGGGAGATGTGTTGTCCCTGACTTCAGGCCCAGCACTCTATCCGCTGCTCCACCTTACTGCCTACCAAGGAAATACAGTTCAATATAATCTCAGCCTTCCCCCTCATTCTTTTAGGATTGTCAGTGTTTTCAAGTATGGGAAGAAAGTCAAACAAACATATCATATTACTTCTTTCTCTTCCCTCCCACATTTGGGAGTATGGATTTGGAATTCCCCTTACACTCTGGTCTATTTTTGAATCATTATGGTTTCAATTATAATAAAAGCCTGGAATAATAAGAGCTAACAATTATACAATGCCTTCCAATTATAAAGTCAAGTCAACAAACATCTATAAAGCTTCTTCTTTGTATCAGGTACTGTGCTTTGTGGACTATGGTTCATTTAAGCTTCACAATAACCCCAAGGGGTAGACAAGGCTGTTATTATTATCTCCATTTTACAAATGAGGAAACTGAGGTTCAGAGAGGTTAAGTCAATCAACCAATAGCATTTTAAAGCACCTACTATGTGCACTGTGCTAAGTGCTTTGTCCAATGCCACACAGTACTAATTGTCAGAGGCTAGGTGAAACCACCTGATTCTACCAGGACAAGTATTCTACCATTACCGTGCCTTGCTAGTTTTCTCAGGATTTTTCCATCTTTGATCGGTAGAAGCCTTAGAAGGATATGAGTCATGGAAAAACTAAGGACCCACAGAGTATCAGAAGTTGTCAGGGAAAGTCTACCTTCCAGGGTAGGACATCTAAGGCAACAATTTTATTTATCAGGTGGACGTAGGTTTTCCCACACTAGAAATTCCCTACTAGCCCTCCTGCTTTGTTATATCTAATACATCTTCTCTCCTAATTTGGACATAAAATGAGACTGCTCAGAACATGGGGACTGGGGATTTTTCAATAATTTAAAAAATTTACGAATCATCAGTATTTGAAAAAGGCATTTTCTAAAATGAAAAACAGAGGCATATTTCAGCTTCCTTACTACAAGTCTAGTCTAGTGGTATGGGACTTGAATTTGAAGTTAAGAAACTTGAGTTTGAGTGCTAGATTAGCATACTATCTGCTTACTTATTTTTTTTAACTTCCCAATAAAACTTTTTCTCTGTTAGATATACTCAGAAAAGTATTCTTAAATGGAACTCAAATTGCCCTAAACCCATCAGTCATTTGCTCTTCTCATAATGTTGAAAAGTATTAAAAAAAAAAAAGAAGTTAGCATAGCCCTTTATCTATGAAACTTGTATCTCCTCTTATAAGATATTTTTTTTACCAGCTACCCTGGAATCTGATTAATGAATTTACTGACAAATGCAGTCATCAAAATGATTTAGGCATTTGTCCTAGTAGTACATTTTTTCCCATTTACTTCTGGGAAGAAATTTTCTCTCATGAACTAATGCTACTGAATCCACAGTTTCATGGCACCAGATTTTTGGAGAGGGACACACTTAAGAGATATGGAATAGGAGAGGAAAACCAGAAAAAATTTCACAAGCCCATCCCAAAAATACTCTTAAGAGCCAAGCCACGGCAGAATGGCAATCCTAGTGCAAAGCTGAGATGGAGCAACAGTTCCTGGAGACTTTACTGTGTGTGCAATGGAGATCCTCCAAGAATAAAAGCCAGAAAGCCTAAGCAGTAACAACAGCATAAATTTATCATATGCAGTTGATATTAAATGAATGCTTCCAGTATTGGTACAGGGTCACTTGTAGGGCAGGGGGATATCTAAATTCTTGCAATGGCATCCTGACATCCTCAAACTTGTTGGCCATCAGCAGAAACTGGTTCCGGGTGAATTGCTGGACAATGAATTTGCAGAGGTCCTTCAATTCATAATAGATCTTCCTCTGTCCCAGGTCGCCCCAAGACTTTG